TGAGATGGACGGGCAGTGGCTTCAACTCCAGCTTTGGTGGTTCTCTATTTTCCAAGTGCAAGGGCTCAAATTCAAGAGTTCTATCCCAGAACCCTCTACCCTCTAATGTCATCACCCATTCTGCCAGTTCTTCTCCATGTACCTCATCTAAATTAATCAAACATGCAGCAAGAGGGTCCTCAGTAGTCAGCATCTCATCATCAGTCTCTACGATTACATCCACGGCTTCAATAAGAGAGCAATTGGCGAATTCACTTGGTCGCCTCATAGATTTCTGTACATTGAATGTTATCTCTTCGTCGTTCAATCTCATCTTGAGCTCCCCAGTCTCACAATCAATGAGAGCTCTCCCAGTGGCCAAGAACGGTCTTCCCAAAATTATGGGAATCTCTTCATCTACTTTGTAGTCTAAGATCACAAAATCTGCAGGGAATACAAATTTCCCTACCTGAATCAACACATCATCCAGGATACATGAGGGTTGCTTTACAGTCCTGTCAGCCAGCTGCAACAACATAGAGGTGGGTTTAGCTCTTCTAATACCCAGTTTCTTATAAATCGCCAAAGGCATAAGATTAATGTTGGCCCCTAGATCACACCGTGCCTTAGCAAAAGAAAAATTACCAATAGTACATGGAATTGTAAAGCTCCCTGGGTCAGATAGCTTTTCCGCATTGGTCTAGTCACCACTGCACTACAGGTCTGAGTAAGAGTAACTGTGGCCAAGTCTTGGAAATCAAATTTTCGAGACACTAAGTCTTTCATCATTTTTGCATACCCAGGCATCTCTTTCAAAGTATCAATCAATGGAATATTTACCTGGATTTGTTTTAGCATCTCCAAGAACTTCTTGTATTGCTCCTCCTTTTGGTACTTAGCCAGCCTCTGAGGGAAGGGTGCAGGAGGTCTCTTCTTCCCAATCATTTGGGATTGATCTTTATCAGTTGCCACCTTAACTAATGGTTCCTGGGTTGTGTCAGCTTCTTTCTCGATCTCAATCTGAATGTTATTTTCTTCTTGGGCAGGCTGGACTGTCACCTCTGTCAGTTTCGTTGACTCATCCAGCTCAATGGGCACTGGTATGAGTGTCTCCGCTTGTCTAGATTCTCAAGCCCTCTCTTGCTCTACATCCAAATCTTTGCCATTACGTAGACTCACAGCCATCAGGTGCTTTGGGCCTTGATCATTTGGATTGATCTGGGTGTCTGCAGGTAGTGTCCCATGAGGACGATTGTTCAGAGACATTGAAATTTGGCCCATATGTATTTCAATATTCTTGATCGCTGAATCATGTGCATCTATTCTCTCACTAATCTTTGCGTTAGACCTAATAACCTGCTGCATCATTGCTTCAAGTCTAGCAAACCCATCTTCCTACCTTCCACCATGCTGCTGCTGATGAGGGTGATATCCATGTTGTTGATTCTGATTATTATATCTCTGTGGCCTTTGGGTAAGGCGCCATATTATTAGGGGGTCTCATACCTCCCATGTTCCCATTGTTGAACCGTGGCTGGGCTGGCATGTACTGCTGATTCTGCTGGCCCCAATTCTGACCACCCAGTCTCTGGCCTCCATAATTCGACACATAGTTCATGTCTTTAGGGTAGTGATGATGATCATGTTCTTCATTCCACTGGTTACCAACTGGATGATTAATGCATGATGTGCACAAGCCCCCATTGGTAGTATCTACAATGTGTACCTGCTGCTTCTTCCCTGACTCTTCCACCTTTTTGGTGAGTATGCTCATTTGTGTCAATAAGTAGCCATATTTTCAGCCATAGAGTTGGATGGATCTAAGGGCATTGAGTGCACCACAGGAGTGATAGGTGCATTCCTGGTTATCCATCCTGAATTCTGTGCCATCTTGTCAAGAAGACCCTGGCCTTCTCTCCATGTTTTGCTCAAAAATGCTCCGCCAGCTAAAGCATCAACAATGTTCTTCATGCTATCTGACAATCCCATGTAAAACCGTTGCCCCAACATCAGATCTGGAATATATGGTGCGGACATATAACCAGCATCCCCTTGAATCGTTCCCATGTTTCATGTAGTGTCTCCATTGGTCTCTGTTTAAAACTCAAAATTTCATCAATTTGTTGAGCGGTTTTGTTAGGTGGGTGGAACTTGTTCACGAATTGCTTGACTAACTCCTCCCAAGTTGTTATGGAATTTATGGAGAGTGAGTTTAGCCAGGTCTGGGCAGCTCCTGTCACTGAGAATGGAAACAATAACAGCTTGATTGCTTCTGGAGTTACGTTGGGCTGCCTTTGGGCTTTGCAGATTGACAGGAAATTCTTCAAGTGTTGTTGAGGATCTTCGACTTGTGACCCCGAAAATAGTCCCTTGTTTTGCAATAAGTGCAGCATGTTATTCGTGATTTGGAATGATTCAGCCTGTATCTGCGGGACTAAAATCGAGGTGGCCAGATTTTTAGCTGTGGGTTGTGCCCAGTCATAGAGAGTTGCCTCTGGCACAATAGGTGCCACTGGCGCTATTGGTACAGTTGGGTCCTCTTCGTGATCTCCCATTTCTGTTTCGAAGTGTTCAGTTGTTTGTTTTTCCGGTTGGCCCGGTTCAAGGCCTTGAAAACTTTCTCGGGATCTGATAATGCTTCAAATACTTCACAAGTTATCGATGAGTTTCTAGGCATGCACCTGTGCAACCAAGTCAACAAACGTTAAAATTTCAATGTAAAGATTGGGTATAGAGAAAACTGACTACACTAAGAATTTTTGTACTTCTCTCAATTATAATTTATAACACCGTTAAAAGTCCCCGGCAACGGCGCCAAAATTTGATCACGCCCAACTATGCCTTATAAAAAAGACACGCGGACGTTGCAAATATAATCTGAGTATTTAGCCCAGAGTCGAACCCATGAGGACTTAACCTATCATTACTTCTCGTTAGACTTACTAAATTCCACGGAATCAACTACTCAAACGTTGTAAATAACAATTAAGGGTATTTCTACTAACTACGAATGAATGTAAATAAGCAACTGACAACTAACTATAATTGAGTTGTAACCAATTAAGAGAAGGTTCTAAGGCTAGGATTACCCCTATTGATGGACTCCCTTCCGATTATGCTTCACATAGAATCACCAAATCATCTCTATCAATCATGAGCACTATTACTACCGTAAATCTCTCCTGAGTAATCACGATAATCTACTAGACGCACTCTCCAAAGTTACGCTAGCTGGCTTTGTTTATTACCGCTCATTTAGAATGCACCCAAGGCTTCGTTATCCCTAATCCCGCCTTTAAACCCGCAATTATTGATCCCTCATATATTTTGGGAGTGGTGTTGTTCAACAATTACTTAAATATGCACTCTCTTCCGATTTATGCATACTATATAGGCATAGCTAATTGAGGATCCTATCAATTAACTACAACAAGCACGTAGTTGAACAAATAGAGATTAAAATGGCAAACTATTAACATAATCAAGAAGTTCATCCTTCAATAGGTTCCATCAAACCTTAGACTAAATATTTAGCTACTCATACTAGTGTGCATCACAACAATAATCAAATTCATCACAAATCATAAAAACAAAAGGAAGAAAGGAAGAACTTGATGTTGAATCATCCTCCTTGCCTCTTGCCTCTCCTTTTCTTGCAGTAAGCTATCAAAAGCTGCCTAATCCTCTCTTGGGCGAGCTTGACCTTCTATAGGTTAAGTGAGTTTTTCCCCCAGACTTCCAAGTTTACCCCTGAAAATTAATATTCCGGAACGGGCTAGCATGGTCGCGCTAGTGGGCGCGCTAATGGCCACGCTAATGCCCTACCATTCTGCCTCGACCATCTGAGCTAGCGCGGTCGCGCTAGTGGGTGCGTTAATGGCTGCGCTAGTCTAGGCCTTCATTTTAACTATTCTTTTTCTCGTCTTCTTCCGTACTCAGCTCCTAGGGGTTTTTTTCTTGCTTCAATGTAGCTCCAATCACATCTTTAAGACCTCATACAAGCTCCTCACTCCTGCAACGTGTGACATTCATAATTAGAGCCCATTTTTTTTATCATTTAACTATATTATAACATTGAAACATAATTAAGTTGGGGCATAAACAATTGCCAAATTATATAAATCTAGCCTATTATCACCTCCACTCATACTCATCCTCCTATCTTGCATGTTGCAATTTCATCTTCCAACTCGGCCTTATCCCCATCGATCACTCATTCAACAATTTCCACTAAGTTACACAATGCTTGCCAACAACCTCAATTATCTAAGAAGGTCACAACCCCACCCCCAACACCAGAATATACATCGGCTACACCACTCTTAGAATCCAATCTCATTTCCTCCATCCCACTTGATAATGGAGCCTAACACGATAATTTACACAGCTCAATCACCCCAAGCACCGTTAACTCTTGCATCTTGGCTAGAGACGGGGCTTCAAAATCATGCCCTAATTTTCACCATGGAAGTCAATCACCAAGAGGTGACAATCCTAATCAACAATCCACGCGACCTTGCTCAAATAATAGCAGAAAGAATGCAACTAGGGACGGAACCATTCACAAGATATCATTGGTCAATGATGCAAGCACCATACCTCTCGCCGTATCAACCTCTCAATCTTCCAACACCAGTTTGAGATCCTACTTACCTATATCCTCATCTTATTTGCATGCCGTTTTATCCACCCCCGACCCCAGCAACACCCTGGATTTAGCCTTATACGAATCCACAACCACTTCTCCCTCTCTTGGAACCACCAACTTTACTAACACCAACACCAACACTAGCCAACTCACCACCACACAGTCCCAATCAAGAAGAACAAGACGAGAATTTCCAGGAAGAACTCGAAGCAGCAGTCGTATACAACCAATACATGCATGGCTCGACAAAATAAAGGTATTTGTGCATAAGGAGGAATACGAAAGAAAAATATTCGTAAGGTGTCCTCTAAATCTAATGAGAGTATCCTTTCTTCTAAGGCCCACCACCAACTCAGAGGTGGGGAAATATGCGATGCTTCTACTACGCACTTTTGGCCTACGTCCAGGAGAGAGCAGGAGCAACTGGACGAGTAGACGGAGAAGCCCAACGACTGAACAAGCCGACAATCATATGAATTTCATCATCTGGAATTGTAGAGGAGCCCTTTCCACGGAGTTTAGACGTAACTTTAGGTCTTTACTTGACTATAATAGGCCGGCTTTAGTTGTTCTCTTGGAAACACACTGCCAAACTCACCAAAATGTGAAGGAAAATTTTAACTTTGATGGTATGATTGAGGTTGCTGCAACACGCCATTTTGGAGGAATTGCAATCTTGTGGTTATCAAGTGTTCTAGATGTCGATCCAGTAGCCACCACTGCACAAGAAATACACTACCATGTCCTGGTGAAACCCTTGCCTTTTACATTTTTATTCACTATCATCTATGCTAGTAATGAATTAGTTAATAGACAATCGTTATGGGAAAATTTCATGTCTGTATATGATAATTATAAAGGACCTTGGATTATTGGAGGAGACTTTAATGAAATAACACATGTTACTGATAAATTTGGTGGACTTCCTATAAATAACTCACGTTCTCATAAGTTTTTGGACTGCCTTAATTACTGCCAAATGACTGATTTAGGATATAAGGGTAGTCGATATACTTGGACTAATGGAAGACATAAGAAGTATATCATTTTTGAACGTATTGATCGTATAGTTGCTAACTATGAATGGATTAATTAATACCCTAACACTCTTGTTACACACCTTCCCCGTACTCACTCAGATCATTGTCCCATTCGACTAGAGTTTCAACACTGTCCTTTACTTAGGAAAAAAATATTTAGATTTGAGACTATTTGGACTAGTCATCCTGCTTTTCAATTTGTGGTTAGGCAAGCTTGGATGGACAACTTGGCACTACTTCCTGTCATTGATAATTTCACAACCACAGTGCAAGAATGGAATAAGTCTACCTTTGGTAACATTTTTAAGCAAAAGAGGAAGATTCTAGCCAGATTAAGTGGAATTCAGTCATCTATCCACTATCCAACTAGCAATTTCTTACAGAACTTGGAACATGAATTAAAGGTAGATTTTAATAGAATACTTAGGTTAGAAGAAGATTCTTGGAAACTAAAATCTCGTATTGACTGGCTTAATAATGGGGATGCCAACACTAAATTTTTTCACCTACGTACTATTAATCGTAGAAGACATAATAGAATAACGACTATTCAAGATCAGGGGGGAAATTGGATAACGAATCCCACCCAAATACTTGATAACATTTCCCTTTATTATCAAAACTTATTTACCACTCAAAAAACAATTTCAATTTCAAAAACAAAACTTCTTCCTTCAAACATCCTAACATTTGTTGATCAAACATCCCTCACACAACCTTTACAAGACTTTGAAATTCTTAATGCTATTAATTTATTCAAACCTATGAAAGCACCTGGACCAGATGGCTTTCACCCTCTTTTTTACCAAAATTACTGGGACACTATAGGGGACTTTGTTAAATATTTCTACCATGAAATTGACCCAAAAATAAATTCTACTTTTATCTGTCTTATTCCCAAAAATAATAACGCATCCACAATTGCTTAACATAGATCTATTAGTCTTTGTAATACTATTTACAAAATTATTACAAAAATTTTAGTTAACTGATTAAAGCCAATACTGGATCATATTATCCATCCCACACAATCTAGTTTTCAACAAAACAAAAGAGCTATAGATAATGCTATCATAGTACAATAAATTATTAATAAATTTCAGAAAATGAAGGGTAACAATCTTAGTATGCTTCTTAAGATAGATCTAGAAAAAGCGTTTGATAAATTAGAATGGTCCTTCATTCGTAATACTTTATTAAGTCTAAACTTCCCTGATAAATTTACTAAATTAATCATGTCTTGTATTACCATCACTACAACCTCTAATTTAATTAATGGTAGTCCAATTGATTCTTTTAAACTCACAAGAGTCATTAGACAAGGTGATCCTCTGTCACCTTATCTGTTCATCCTATGTCTCGAAATGTTTCCAGGAAAATAAATAATGCAGTTGACTACCAGGCATGGAAACCAATTTCTTTATCAAAAAATGGCCCACAATTATCTCATTTATTATTTGCAGACGATATTATCCTCACCTTACAAATTACAGCTAGTACGTATCAATCAATGGTTAATACTATTACATAGTTTACTCACCAGTCTGGCCAATCTATAAACTTTGATACATCAAATATTTACTTTTCAAAAAATTGTCAACCAAATACTAAGAATATTATTCTTCAAATTTTTCGTATGAAGGAAGGGCGTAGTTTTGGAAAGTATTTGGGGTTCCCTATTTTTAAAACTAAGCTTTCCAAAAATGACTATCAATTCTTACTTGATATCATTAAAACAAAATTGGCAGGATGGAAAACTAATTTTCTATCTCGAGCGGGAAGACTAACTTTAATCAAATATACCCTCAATCACCTTCCTAATCACTTGATGCAATATATAAAAATACCTACGTATATACTAAGCTACCTTAATCGGTATCAACGGAATTTTCTATGGGGCACAACTCCTCAAAAGAAAAATTACATCTCATAAAGTGGTCTACAATCACGCAACCTTTGGAACTGGGGGGTTTAGGTATACAAAATCTCTGTACAAAAAACCAATCACTTCATGCAAGCCTTGCATGACGAATGTTCAATGATCCACAACAGCTGTGGGCAAAAGTTCTTTTACATAATTATGCACGGCCACAATCTTTAATAAATTATAAATGTTCTAATACTTGGCGTAATATAATTAACGGCTGGAACTATTGCAGGTTAGGTTATAAATGGAATATTACAACAGGACAACATGTTAGGTTCTGGAATGACCCATGGCTCAAACATAATCTAATAATTAGAAACTACATTTATGGACCTATGCCTCAATTTGAGGAGAATAAATTGGCTTCTAATTATTATTACAATAATAGATGGCACCTAGATAACATACCTTTTGACTTACCCCGCATATAATTTCCCTAATTAATAATATTTATATACCACTTGTATCCACTACCTATGACAAAATTTACTGGGATCTAACAGAGAATGGTATCTTCTTAGTTAACTCAATGTACAAGTATCTTAGCACCACTAATACACCTAGTGGTACATTCATAACCACCTCGTACAAGTGGATTTGGAAACATCAAATTCCTCATAAAATATCCTTTTCCTTTGGTTAATTTGCCATGACAGACTTCCAACAGCTGTGTATCTTATACTACTAGGTATTACCAATTCAGCAACATGTCCACAGTGTCATAAAGACACTGAAACAATTAGTCATTTATTTCAACATTGTCCTAACGCCCTACATCTTTGGAAATCCCTTAGGGTACCACCTCCCACTAGCACTTTCTCAATACCCCAAAATGATATTATGAATTGGTTGTACAAGCTTATACATACCCTACTGGTTTCGACACCTCACAAAATTCCTTATACAACTATGATTCTTTTTGCATTATAGGAAATTTGGATTAAAAGAAATAAATTTATTTATGAACATCAAAAAATGGATTTACATATGCCTTCACTGTTATCAAGGGTGGCTGAATATTACTTTTTAACTAATCATTCACTTAAGAAGAATACAAAGTCCCCTATCTATATCAAATGGCATCCACCAAATCATACTTTTTATAAATTAAATATTGACGGATCTTGCTCCCTGGCTCAAAGTACCTATGGTATTGGTGAAATTTTCCGCAACCAACAAAGCAATTGGATTATAGGCTTTGCAGGGTCCGTGAAAGCAGGCCCCACTATACAAATAAAACTTCTTGCACTCCTCAAAGGATTACAAATTGTTGTCCAACAACAGCTCACACCAATCATCATTGAGATGGATACACAAGCAATAATCGGTATGTTCAAAGAACCTACAATGCACTATACTAATATCATTAATTATTGCATGTCATTGCTCCAATAGCTGGGTAATCCATCAGTTCAAGTTATCTACAGAGAGCAGAGTAGAATTGTGTAGCAGATAGGTTAGCTAGATATGGAGCAATGCACGCACAGGAGCACTGCCTACTTTTTGGGACACCGCCACCTTTTGCTATGTCTTGTTATGAACAAGATCACCAGGGCACACTCCACAACAGGATGATTAGGAAGTTTAGTAGGAATGTTACACAATCTCTCTCTAGTTTATCTAGCTTATCTATTATGTGTAATAGTAGAAACTCTTTAGTAGCTACTACTTCTACTACTAGTACTGTTTCCCAAGTGGGAGATCAAGCACCTAGCTCTATCTTTATACAACGGATGCCCTGTATGCATCCAAGAACCTAATACGTTGTATTTGTTTAGTATGCTATAATATTGTCTATCTTTCCAACCCAAAAAAAAAACAGCAATCAAATTGACTGCATATAATAAGCGTTAAACTTATCCATTAAAATACATTGAAAATTACATGGTACATATACAAGAAAATGCTTACTTAAATCAGCTATAGTGGAGTCTATATGTAGGAATTGCCATCAGATGCTTTGCCCTACAAGTTACAACACCAAATTTCCCACTCATGTCCAATTCACTAGGCTGCATACCATTTGGAAGTTCTCAACCAAAGCAATGCACCAATTGCGCGACCACAAGGCGAACAATTATTATCCCCAACTGCATACCAATGCAACTTCTTCTACCAGAGCCAAATGGTAGAAGTTGAAAGTCGTATCCACAAAGATCTACGTTGCACCCAACAAATCTTTCTGGAAAAAACATGTCTGGTTCAGGCCAGGCATTAGGATCCCTTTGAGCTGCATATATGTTAACAATAATTCGCAATCCCTTTTGTACGTAGAAGCCACCGACCTCGCAGTCTTCTATGGACTCATGAATCAGTAATGGTGCAGGTGAATGCAGCCTGAGGCCCTCTTTTACAACCATATCTAAGTACTTCAAATTCTCCAAATCTGATTCTTCTAGCATCCTTTCAATTCCTACCACTTCTTCTAATTCTTTTTGGAGTTTCTTCATCAAATTAGGGTGCCTAAGAAGCTCTGTCAATATCCATTCCACTGATGTTGCTGAAGTGTCTATTGAAGCCATAAGCATGTCATGTGCACAAATTGTCCCCAGAAATGTGAATTAAACAAATTAATGTAGTAACAATGACAAACAACAAAATAACAACTACTATATCTTAATTCCAAACAAGTTGAGATCAGTCATATGAATGTGCCGCTTATGTGAGCTTGCTCATTGGAAGTGGTAGGTTGACAACCAACATAAAACTAGTCAATGTATGATGTAGTACAGTCAGACCTATCTATAACATCATTCCTATATAATAGTCATTCACTATAAAAGCCAAGTTTTTCTCGAAACCAATTTTCATGTTATATTATAATATGTATTCACTATAACAGCACTACTCTATATCAACCAAAATATATCGGATCAAATGAGGTTGCTATAGAGAGGTTCATAAAACTAAAGTTTTAACAACACAAAAATTTCTATACACATTTTTCAAATGCTAGCATATGTTTGTAAATTAATCACCAACTAAATATTGATTCAATGAAATTATACATACCAATAGAACAGCTCTAATATGACGGGGATCGAACTCGAATCCAGCTTCACCAGATTGCATAATGGCCATCATGGTATCTACAAAATCCTCAGTTTCCCTCAGTTCCTTAGACTGAACATGTTCTTCAATAATCTTCTCAAGAAATTCATCAAAAACCTTTGAAAGAGCCTTTAGCCTACCAGTAAGTCCCTGAAGATCCAAAACACCAAGATAAGGAAAGAAATCACCAAGATTTGGTGTTGCAGCTAAATGTACAACTTCTTGAACTATAGATTTAAAACCCCTTTTGTCCAAATCTTCATCCATAAACCTTTTACCAAAAACCATTAAACAACTCAAGTTTGCATTCAAGGATGAAACTTTAGCACTAAGATCAACAGCAACACCATCTTGAACAGCCTGTTTGATTGATTTAACCAAAATCGAAACTTCCTCTTTTCTTGAAGATTGATATGAATTAATCTTTTGACTAGTCAGAAGTTGCAAAGTACATAATTTTCTCATGTTCCTCCAATAAGATCCATATTTGGAGAAAATCAAGTTTCTTTGGCCATAACTTATATATTGAGAGGCCTCGTTATGAGGTCTACTAGCAAATACATGATCATAAGTCTTGAGGACTTTTTCAACTGTCTCAGGGGAAGAAACAATAATTGTTGGTACCAACCCAAGTCGCAAGTACATAAAAGGGCCATATTTCTTGGCTAATTTGTAAAAATCTTGGTGTGCATTTTTACCTATTAAGTGGAGATGTCCCAAACTTGGAATTCCTATTGGACCTGGTGGAAGTTTTTTCCTATTTACAACTTATGGAACATGTATATGTCTAGAGCTAGTATAAGTGTAGTCCATATTAAAGCCATGGTTGGGACTTGGGAGCTCTAATAGCTGACTTTGGTTATACTAGAATATAGTCCCTTGAGCCTCAAGATAGATAATGTTTATTATAAAGGAGCGCAAACTACCACCAACCCCCTTGTATCAAGATAGTTAATGCAAGTATAACTCAATTGTACTGAGTTGGTTGGGTGAGTGGTTTTCCACATGGGAGACCTGGGATAGATTTCTCTCACCAGCAGTCTCCTCAATCAGAGCTCGTCGTACCGGGCGTGCCTAGCGCGGTTTACATCTCCTGTATGATTTGCGAGTTATTGCACAATGAACAGGTTACCTAGTGCACACCCGAAGGATAACGGTTGCGGGTTTCCCTGGAAAATAAACGTAATTGTACTTACTGGATTTTCCTAAGAAAGGAAAAAAATATTCCTCCTGTCTCTTTGACCAATTTTCGAAGAAGAGATTAAACTCTTATATCAAGATAGTAATAAAATGCATTCTTCGAGTCCATATTATTATCTTTTAGTCACTTTTTTAATCAACTCCTTAAGAAATATATTTAATAATTATAATATTTCATCACAGGGGTAAGGTCTACGTATACACTATTCTTTCTGGACCTCACTTTAAAAAAATTAGAAATAATTTTTAATTTCCTAAAATATCAAATAATTTTAAGCAAATTCAATTTATCAAAATATTAGCTGGATTCTTCTAATTTGAAATTTATTTATTTAGGAAAAGGGAAAGTGGCTAATTTATTTTGGAAATAGAGAAATAAATCTAAATAAAGGAAAAGGTCATTACCAATTATGGAGAGAGAGTGAGAAAATAGACAAAAATAGACGAAAATAGACAAGGAAATCATGATTCAAAGTGGTCAACATAATAAGATATGTTGTAACCACAGAAATAGAAGATGATGGAGTATTATGTTATCCTTATGGAAGCAAGCGGGCACGCACCATTTTGGCCAAACTGGAAAAATCATCTTATTTTGAGAAGCGTTTTTTTCAAAAGTACTTTTGGTGAGAAGCATTTTGTGTTTGGCAAAATAATTTGAAAAGTACTTCTAAGCAGCAATTATTATTTGGTCAAGCTTTTAAAAAGTGCTTCTAAGTGTATTTTTCTCAAAAGTGCTGCTCGATATTAATTTACTCATATTTTTATTGCTTTTTGGTTATATTTGATATTAAATATGCCTAAATTATTAAGTTTTATACTTTTAGGGTGTTAATGATGTATACGGTAAGAATCGGGGCTATCCGATTTATAGGCTCGAGAGGTCGTTCGAAGCCCGAGTACAGGTAAGGTCGAGTTCGAGCTCGAGGGACCAGATCCGAGTTCAAACACAGAATGTAATGCCCGGAGATAGGAGTACGAGGAATACCGAATCCGAGTATGTTCGACCCCGAAATAGTACCGTTATGGATTTGTAACAGAATGAGCTAAATTCTTGCCACTTCCCGAGATCATGGCGCAAATCCCGGAATAGGATCGTACGATTCCGTACTAGGCGGTTAGACAACTGTATCAAGGATATTCCTTGCTGTAAATAGAAAGATACTTTATTTAGGGTTCCCTTATTATATAAAGGGGACCCCAATCATTTTGTAAATAATCTGATCATTGACAAAGAATATACTATCCTACTTTTCACTCCTATTGTTCATCAGAATTGTCCTGTTATCCTTATTGCTCTTACTTTGCTGTTCTTGGTTCATCTTGAGGTCACTGAGCTCGAGGTCGATATTGGTTAAGTAACACTGGTTTGATTCACTTATTTTCTTCATCTATACTTCATATTTCTTGATTATTAATTGGTATTGAACTAAATTATATATCTTTAAAATCACAAATTAAATTTAATTGTTACTCGTATTTTCGAGGTAAATAGTTTGGCGCCCACCGTGGGGCTAAAGATAATAGTGATTATTTCTTTACTGATTCTCATTACACACGTTGTTTTTACACTTTTGCTTGTCAAGATTTTTTGATTCTCAGGCTGAAACATGTCTAGCTCACAAAATACACATGTTCATGACAATGAAGGTCTTGGAGAAAACAACAATGCAGGGGTCGGTGTACCATCGATAAACCCTAGGGAAGTGCCAAATATAGAACCAGTTGATGTTAGCTCACACGTTGCTCTAAATGCGGATTTAGGCACAGACCCCGGAGGGAGTGTACGCAGGGAAGCCCGATCTGGTGGCCAAGGAGAACAAGGAATGGGATATGGGGGAATTAGCCTCCAAGTGATATTCGAGATGTTGCAAGCTCAACAGATCTTCGTCGCTCAATTTTAAAGTCAGAATAAACTCCAAGTGTGGTCGAACCAGGGAACACTCGACGTGTTGAGCCGGTGCCGGAGGTATCAAATGGTAATGGCTCGGGGACTGACCCCACAATTATGAGGATGCTGGAGGAACTCACTAAGAGAATCAAGTCCAGAGAGAAGAAGATCGAGGATAATGACAAAAAAGTGGAGACTTATAACTCCCGTGTTGATCAAATACCGGGGGTACCCCCATTCTTAGAAGGACTAGATTCCAAAAAGTTCGTGCAAAGACCTTTCCCTCCTAGTGCGGCTCCGAAGCCAA